GGAAGGGGTGACAAAATGTATTAATTCATGTTCCATTGTCTCCTATTTATTCTAGTAATATGTATTTTACCAGTATAGTTTCTTTCCTTCTCCATCAACTAAACATATCATCCAATCAACCCATTTTTTTCCAGGCAAAACTTGAAGAAATATTTTCCAAATATGGACTCCTGTTTGAAATCCAAGTGTTTAACAATTCAGGCACAGAAAAAGACAATGAAAATACCACAGTGGGCGAGTCAGCTGCACAACTTCAGCAGTATACTGGTGGTTTTGCATTTATCAAGTATTACTCTACTCTGGATGCTGCCAGGGCAAAAAGTGACCTCAATAACAAACTGATTCTTAATGGGAAGCTTATAAGGGTAAGGCTTCTTTCACATGAAAAATCTATTTTCTATTCGCGGTATCTTGTGATCATGGTCTGTGCCCTGAATACCCCGCCGGGTAATTAATGGCAGCGCGAGCCAGTTACTTCCAAAGCTGTAATTAATTCACGGCTGCGCTCGGAGTGATCACAAGATACCGCGAATAGAAAATAGATTTTTAGAAAATAGCTTTTTCATGAGAACGGAGTCTAATTGTACCGCCAGCGTAGGCGCTGGCGGTACACATGGTTTTAGTCCCGACCCGCATGTTCCGCCGGCTCCGCCAGCTCCTCTGGCTCCGCCGCCATCTCACCGTTACCGCTTCTCCTCCTAGACGGTAAGGGCCTCCATACCCATCTCTTGGATTTAGGTCACCTATAATCTCAACTCGTTCCACGTACAATTTGGGCTTTGTCAGAATTGGGGTCTAGGTGTGGCACTCATTGCAATGCACCCTTGTCCAAAAATGGCAAAATTAAATGCTAATTATCTACCCTACGGAAGGAATTATGTGAAAAATTTCTACAGACGGCTATCCGAAAGTCATATGTGGAGATTTCAAATATGCCCTTGGATTTGACCTTTGACCTTTATTTCAAGGTCAAACGAGCCAAAATTTTCAAAAAAACGAATTTTTTTTCGAAAAAAAAATTATTTGCGCTGATATTCAGAAACTACACAGACCTAACCTATAATATTATTGGAAGGTGCTACCCTTTGGGTCATCTTTCATCTCTGTGAATTTGGGGTCAACCGGTGCATTTTCCTGGGAGTAGCGGCCATAATATAACGAAACTGAAAACTGTCTCTAATTCGGGAACCGTTAATGCTAGAGACCCATTCTTTTTTGCATTTTGTAGAGCATGTAAAGCCCAACACTGGAGGTGGTCTCCGTTTTTTTGTATTCCATACGGTTTTCGAGTTATGCTGTATCAAAAAGTACATTGTGGTGGTGAAAGAAAAATGTGCAATACGGTAATGGATAACAAATTTTGAACTCCGGGAAAATAAAACATAAGGCTTGGCGAGGCAGACAACTTCTGGTCAAAAATGACATTATTTCNATTTACCATAGTGAAAATCACTGGTTGCCTTTTCCATTATGACACTGACACAAAGATGAGAAACTTAAAATTCAGAAGCCAGTGTATACATCCTGATTTTGATAACTAGTAACTGTGAACTGATTTGGTCTTAAAATAACAGAAAAATTTTTAATTTCCAGGGAATTATTATTATTATTATTATTATTATTATTTGAATGTAAATACAAATGCACTTTGTATGCACTCTGTACACATCCTGATTTTGAGAATAACAATTACTCTTTAAGCAGACAGCTATACCAAAGTTAGTAAAATACACTACAAGTTGTACATACCTGTTGATTTGGTCTTAAAAATAACAGAAAGATTTCAAGGGAATTATTTTTATATTTATTTATTTATTTATTTATTTATTTATTTATTTATTTATTATTATTTGTATGTAAACACAAGTGCACATTGTATGCAGTCTATAAACATAACGCATGTCACTATTTCCAGACCCAGGACAGAAACCAACAGCAATTTGTAAAGCAAAGAAGTTTTCCTACAAGATTGCCCTGGAGGACGCTTTCAGTCACCTGATCATTGTGTCCGTCAATGGGAAAATATCTGTTGAAATAAATACATCTACGCCATGTAATGTACTGGAAGGAACAGATGGAGTTGTCCAGGTATGTGTTTTTGTTCTGGATGTATATATATTTTAAGAAACAGATGGAATTATTCAGATGAAGGCTTAGGGCGCATTCCCATAGATTTTAGATCGATCTATCCCCGTGGGGAGTCTCACTAGATTACTGTCAGATAATCCGGCTTAAATGTCCGTCCTGCCTACTACAAACTGTAAGGGGGTAATTAACTTTCGTGCCCCCTGGGCTGACAGCTATTTAGTGTGAACCCCAGGGAGTTAGGTTGATCTAGTTGGATCGATCTAATCTCTGGGAATGGGGTCTTAATTTTTGGTTGGTATGATTTGATGAAACAGCCACATGTAGAAAACATTATTCACATATGCAATTCTTGGATTTGAATTTGAATTCAATTATTCAGCGGTAAAACTTTTTCCCTCACTTACTTATTCGTTATTATTATTTGTTTCTTTATACTATTGTAATTGATACAATAATTATAATAAATAAGTAAGGGAAAACAGTTTTACCACATTATTATTATTATTATTATTATTATTATTATTATTATTATTATTATCTATCGATATTCCAGATAAATGAACTGGAGGAACCACCTGTTGAAGATGAAGACAGCTTTGATAGTTATTACCTCCTAGATGACTCTGAAGATCAAGACAGAATCAATGAAAAAATTCTCCTTGCTTTAGAAGCTGACTGAAAGTTATTTTACAGCAAAAATATCCATTATCAGAGGGTGGTTTCACAAAAAAAAAAAAAAAAAATCTAGGACCGTTCAAAACTTAAGATGTTCAAAACTGAAGTTTATTATGCAATGAATGCATATATTACAATTGCATTTTACATCTAATGATAATGCATATATACATTTTCAATACATATCATATATCACATGATAATTCCATAAATTAAGATCATATTTACTCCAATGAAATAATAATTGAACAGTATGAACAACTGGTAGAGAATTTTACTAACTTGGGTATAGCTGTATGCTTAAACTTACTGCTTAAACGTGCATAAACTTTTAGAGTTACGTATATCTTTACCCCAAGAAAATCCCTTTTTTTTTTTGGGGGGCCAAAATGAACTGCTTTCAAGTGAACATAAATGTCACTTACAAAGCTCGGGTCTAGAATATCTACGATCGTCGACAAAAATCTGAATGCAGCAGATGATATATGCTTCTGAACGCTTAAAATTTGTGGCAGTAATCGCTTCACGTCGTTTGTTTTGTTACCGCGCATTGAACAATGGATGGGTGCTTTAATCAAATGAAAATTGATGTGATTCGGATTATTTCTTTGTTGATTAAACTGACGAAAAACTTCGAAATGCTGCTGATGTAGTCTGGGTTGGTCCTCTTAGCCCTTATTAGATTGCCAACCCACGTGCAACGTGATTTGTTCATTGATAATTAATTAATATGTATGACAATGAATGTAATTAATAGCTCCAGATGAAAAAGCGTCCCACTTGTTGGTTAGAAAATTACGAGAGACGTTTTGTTTTTATCGGTGCTTTTTGTTCCACTTGCCATTTACTCTCATTAATAAAAGCAATAAAATGTGAGTTGCTGGTTCTCAGTTTCCTAAAACACCTGTCGGTTGCAGCTTCTTTGATGTGAATAACATTGTTTACGTTTGTTGACGTGCGTACTTTTAAATGTATTCACGGAAATGAGATTCGGATATGCTGTAGTTTTGTGATATTAAATCGCAAGTAGATATGAATATTTGTTCTGTGAATCATATTGAGAGAATTGGCCCACTTCGCTTGGGTTTGATCTGCAAAATGTTTTTGATATATCAATTTATGTAAGAAGTGTATTTAGCCAGGGAATTATATCCGATATAATTCCCTGATTTAGCCATCCCATGCCGGACAACTAGAATGCATCCTCTGCCCAGATAAAATGTAAAGAAAATTAAAGAGAATGAAAACCATCCTTTACATAAATAAAGAGACTGGATTAACTTGAAATTTTACAGAATAATTTCCTCGTACAGAACGTTCTTAAAAATTCAACAAAATTTCTTTAATACTAATGATGCCTTGTACTCTAACAAGCAAGGCAACGCTGATGAAAATGTATCCTTTTTTGTTGCCAGAGATATTTATTAGCAAGTGAAAAAAATAAGAAGCAAACAAATTAGATAAAAATAAAAAGGCCCTCATAGCAAATTTCTTGTTTTTACTAATTACTTGTCATTATTTTAGAATCTGAGTCTAGGGCGATAGTCCAAAGGTAATTACTAACACGTGAAAAAAATAGAAAAGCAAACCAATAAGATATAAATAAACGGCAATTGGACGTGAAATGGTTTTATTTTTGCTAATTATTTGTCACAATACTGGAATCTGAGACCAGGGGAAATAGGTATGCAAATAAGTTAGTCACACTGTATGACGTACGACAAATACGTGCAGGCAAATACTAAAATAATGCGTAAAAGAATTAATGTCCCATTATGAAAATTTTAGCAATAAATGTGTCGGGAGGTCCTTGAGGTTCTATTTTAACTCGATTAAAATCTAGTTAAGTGTCTTTATCTAATTACCCCCATTCACTGACAAGTAGTAAGTGAGGAGTGAAATGGAATGCAATGTTTTTTCCAAGTGTTTTTTTTTTCTAAACTGCCTCACGAACATGGAATTAGCTAATCACCACATTTGCTTTCTTTTCTTTCTATCTCGACCCAGCCCTAGTTTGCTAAGTTTGAAATACGCCTGTGGTTAACATTTGCTGAAGTAAACCAGTGGCGGATTTTTTTTAAATTTTATTTTTTTTTTGGGGGGGGGGTGTCAAGGTGGTCGATTTCTGAAAAAAAAATCACAATGGTCCCACTGTCCACAATGGTCCCACGGCAAGGGGTGGGGTGGGGCGGCTTCGCCACCCTTCAAATAATCCTGGATCCGCCCCTGTAATCGATGAAAAAGCGTGTAACCCATACTGAATATTCACTGCATCTTTTATTTAAAGATATTGATACAACAATTGAAATAAACTTGGATTCAAATTTTTTATATTAAAAGTGTTTCTAGTTTCAGTTGTCTAATAAGTGTTTAAATTTTTTGATTAAAAAAATAAATCCAACGGTCCATCGTGACAGCAAACCTGTCCCATTGGGATGAAGAATGAATAAATTATACATAAATATATATAGTATAAATGTCGCCAGACATCTGTTTACGGAAGAGACGAAGTTCAGCTGTATTCAGACGTGACTTCTTTTAACAAATATCGGTTCAACTTTCGCCAATCAGATGACCCTGTTATATGCACAAGCTAGAGTCCTCTAAATCATTTGCTAATTAAGTTGGCAATTTTGTAGTGCGACTACAGTGCGCCTTAATTTCGGTCTTCGTTGTTTTCCTCTGAACAACCCACTATAAAAGACAAATGGCGTAATAAAGCTACGGCATCGTTTTCACCTGCTGCAAACATTCACCTGCTACGCTTTAATATTTAATTTCAATGCATTTCCGCCGGGCGTGCGTTTTTGGTCGGGCGTAATTTTTTGAGAGGAGTCGGTGATAATCTATGCAATTTTTTTGTATAAAAGGAGGAACAGTTTCTTATTTTGCATTCAAAGCCACTAGAGAGTGTTGTAAGGACAAGCTATACTAATTACTGTATTTTCAGGGATTTATTTGGTTTTCTATTAGTACGCATTTGCACTCATTAATTAACGAAGGGATCTTTAGTTCGCTAACTTTGAAGATAACCTTGGAGCAGGTCAAAAAGGAATTATAACTTTATAAAAGGTACGTTTGGCATGGTATTACTTTCTGCACATTGACAGAAACAATTTACGTCAGTAGATCATTTTTTCAAAATTCACAAGATTTTTTTTTAATCAGTTGGTAAATTTTGGGTCATATTCGATATGATAAAATCTGTTGGAGATTATGATTATAATTGTAGAAGATAATTCCGAAAATATATCTTCAAAGGCATATCTTTATCGTTCCACCATGATATATAATTATAAAGGATAAGCAACGCTCCATTTTGGCAATTTGTGTATTTCAGTGCACAAAACAGGAAAAACAGTCGGATCCAACATTTAAGCACGATGAAAACCTTAACCGCACAGTCGCGCCTTGCAATTTTCATCTTCGGCGTAATTGCCGCTTCATTCCTAGTCCAGGAATTACACGGGAGTCACTCATGCCGAGAGTGTCACACGTTAGCCTCGGAAGCGTCTTCTCTTTGCTACGGTGGCGATTTCTGTGGGTTGCTAGGCGACGGCATGCATCAGGACTGTGCGTCATGCTTGTCTTATGTAAGGTGCACTAACGGAGTGCGCGAAAACGTTCAGTGTCCCAATGGGCATGTTTGGAATCAGGTAAATATGCGTGCCGTTTTAGACTCAAGAAGTGTATTAGACAAAGATAATAATAATAATAATAATAATAATAATAATAATAATAGGCCTAAATATCTTGGGGATATTAATAAATTTCCTAAGATATAGGCCTACTTTATTCAAAACAGTTGATAAAATTATGATCTATAAATCGTTTGTGAGAATTTCATTTCTAACATTTACTCCCGTAAGTGAAATTTACCCGTTTCCATGTCTAATACAAGACTGAATCATACATGAGACTAGACCCATGTTTTGCCTATATTTCTGTCTGTAGGCCTATGCCTATGCCTGTATTTATTTATTTTTGTATTCAACAGGCCAGCCAGCAGTGCGACTGGCCTTGGGTCAGTGGATTGACCTGTAAACTGACCAGCTCAGACATCGTGACGGTCAGTGACTACCTGCGCGAGTCCGGTGATTGGCAGGTAAGTTTTTTAAATGATCTCTTTTTTATTTATTTGTTTTTTTTTTATTTATTTATTTTATTTCGTATGACACGTGTCTTGAGATCGGGGCGTTATTGAGAGTTTTTTGGGCATTTCAGTGTGAATTATCAATCAAAAGGTCATCAATGTTTTTGAGCGGATTTTTAAAGCCTAGTAAATTTATTAAAAAGAATAATATTATACTGGCTTACTTTTTGTGTTCATCGTGTGTGCCATTTTCTGTATACTTTCCTTGGTTGATTGTTTATTAAATTAATTTGTGTTATTGTTTTTTTGTTGAAGTTGACCTTTTACTTTTATAAAAAGATTGTCAAAACTGCAAGTGTCAAAAAGTGTGTAATTGCAATGTGTCAAAATATGACCCGTCCTATTGACATTTAAGAATGAAGCCGACAGAAAAAGTGATAAAGGTTTATGTTTTTCTTAAGTAAAACATCGAATAAATAATTCTGATCAAGGTCACTGATCCCCTGACAAGACAAGAAATCGGTTGTTATCGTCAAAATGTTGTTTTTGATTTGATTTGAATGACTTTATTGAGTACAAAATTATATACAAGAACTTAAAAGAGCATAATTCTTAAAAAGTTTTCATACATTTTCAATAATAATGTCCTGGTTGTTAGTAAGCTTAACTCTCCGAACCTTTCATTCCAGATGGGAGGTTATGATGGAATGATGTACATGCAGTCCCTATCCATCAGCTTGATGTCCGACCCTGTGGCGACACCTACTGCCTGCCCGAACTGCATCACGGGAAAACTGAAAGCCCCCTTTCCCACGTCTGACGTCATTCGGCCGGGAGAGGCCTGTAACGGGCGATTTGGCGACTTTCAGACGTGTGAATCCTGCCTTAAAGTCGCCGTCTGTTACTCCTACCCTCTGCCAATTTCATTCCCCTGTGAGGCGGGGAAGGTGTACGACCCCCAGGCTCCAAACCCTACGGGGAATCCCACTAGCAAGTGCCTCGAGCCATGGAAGACGAACGCGTGCTCTTTGACCGCCCAAGATCAGGCCGCCATTTGTTCCCATTATCAAGGCGCGACACCCGGGAGTGAAGCGGCCATGTACTATAGTACGCACTGTTATTAATGAGTCCACGGTTCGATTCTCCACAGACCTTTTTCACTTTGCTAATTTTGGTAAGAGGATGAATAGATAGGGTCTGCATTGTCATTTGTGTGTGGACATTTCTTATTGTAAGTGTACCTGGCAAAGCGAATTTAAATAATTCAAAGTGTAAACTGTGACTCAGATAATGTTATCTGTCTTCACGAGAGATTGCATTAGAAAAAAAAAGAGACTACTTCCGTGTGGGGACAATCAGTGCAGTGTGTAGAATAAAGTAGTCTGTTTGCAAATATTGATCAATTGTTTTTGGCTTGATTGTCGTTGTCAACCGTATGTGACGACGTTACTGACTTTGTCTTGGTGGCGCGAGGTAATAACTAAACAATTCCATGTTTTCCCATATTCTTTATTATCGCTTTCTAACTACGCTATCTACAGTTTGTTCCTCATCGTTCAACCTCTTACATTGTTCTCCCCGTCTACATTACATTCTTCGCTTATAAGTACAATAAGGTCGTGTCAATCAACTTAAGTTACTCTACTAAACACTCACCGCTCTTATTCGCAGCATGCTGTCACTTACTAACGTTACACGCACACGTAACATTTTAAGAAAATTGCTAGACTTTAAAGTAATCAGAAAGATGCTCTTCGAATATACGGCTGACGTGTTACGTGTAATATTAACTATTCTGTTTATAGTTGCTGACTCTAACAGCTCAAACAAAAATGCTTTAAGTAAAACATTATCACTTCTCGCCGAAAACTTTATTCAGAAACGATTATGGCGATTATTCTGTTTATCGTTGTTGACTCTAACAGCTCAAATCAGAGATGCAAGAAGCTTAACATTATCACTTCTCGCTGAATACTTTATTCAGAAAAGATTATAGCAATTAATCTGTTAATCGTCGCTGACGCTAACAGCTCAAAACAAAGATGCATTAAGTAAAACATTATCACTTTTCGCTGAATACTATATTCAGAAACGATTATGGCGTTGTCTTGTGTTCACAGAGGGCAAAATTTACAATGTAATTTTAATGACGTTTAACTTTGACACGGTGGGTTCACACCCATCCTGGCTGAGGCTGAGACTTCCTTTCATCTTGTTAAAACCGTCATTTAAATAGCACTACAAAAATTAAGACCTCGTTCCCATTCCTAAATCGACCTAGCAGGATCGACCTGTCTCCGAGGGGATTCTCGATAAATTGCATTCAGCTTAAGCGGCTCTGATGTCTGGCACGCCTACTGAAGCTGCTAAACGATAGTTAATCCCCCCCCCCCCCAACAGCTTCAGTAGGCGCGCCAGACATCACAGCAGTATAAGCTGAATGTAATATAGCCGGAAACATCTTGGAGATCTGATGGGTCGATCTTGCAAGATCGATCTAGGTATGGGAACGGGGAGATATCCAACTTAACGGTCCGTTACATACGAGATGTTACTAGAAAATATGTGAACTCGTGGCGTGTTTCAGTGCACTTGATTGTGTAGCTGTCTACATACTAGAGTGACTTTTCTATCTTTTACCTTGTGTTTGTGTCAAGAAATACATTTCAAAAATTTTTATTATTATGTTGTGATTTCTCTTTGAACTACCGGAAGGTGATCTGTAAAACGAAAACGACATCCGGGTTTCACGGGACGTTATTGTAGAATATTAATAAATTTTAACGTGAAAAGAACGTGACCCATACGATTATGTTTTCCGTTGTGAGGGAATCTGCATAGAGAAAGAAAAAAGAAACAAACAAAATAAATAAATAAATAAATAAATAAATAAATAAACAGAGAGATATAGGAAACCAGGCAGATATTCGTTTTGCAGGACTGAAGAAGTAAAATTGTCATCATAAGCAAGTTCGCAAAAATTGTTAATAACTGTTTTCTAACCCACACGTTGATCAGGGCATTATTGCTCGGTCGTATGAGTTAATTTCTAAAGTTAAAATACTTATCTTTTATTAGTCTACTATAACCTTGTAGTTTTATAAGTACATATATATATATTTTCCTCTTTTAATAGTCTTTATTTTACAAGCCAGCCCCTCTCTCTCTCTCTCTCTCTCTCATAGACCCCAGTCTCTCTCTCTCTCTCTCTCTCTCTCTCTCTCTCTCTCTCATAGACCCCAGTCTCTTTCTGTCTCTCATAGACCCCAGTCTCTCTCTCTCTCTCTCTCTCTCTCTCTCTCTCACACCCCCTCTCTCTCTCTCTCTCTC